ATTCTAGAATGGAACGTACCAGGGAACAATACAGTGACTTGAGGCAATGGATGTCGGAGAAATTCTTAGCAGTTCTGAAGATAAAGCCCAATGTCCTTGACGACTTGTCGACGACGTACGAGATGTGTTGCTTATATGTAAGTTGAGAGTCCAGGATGACACCTAGATCTTTTACATGGCTCACACGTTCAATAATGGTGTCCCGGAGAGCATAGTGAAAAATAACTGGTTCTTTCTTTCGGGTAAAAGTGATGACTGAACACTTCGCAGGATTTACTATCATTCGGTTCAAATGGCACCAGTTGGCAAACGCTTCAAACTGACGTTGGAGGAATTGATAATCATCAATCGAGCAGATCTGTAAGTAGATTTTGAGATCGTCTGCATACGAATAGATAAAGGTCCCGTAGCCGCTGATATCGAGCATCTTTCAAGTGTCGTATCATTCACCAGAGCTAGATCCAAGAGGCGACCATTTCGGTTGTCGATTGTATTGATTTGTGTTAGGCCATGCAGACTAAATCCGGCGAGTAATGCAGCACAAGCGACAGAGATGTTCGATTGCAAAACATCTACTGTTGGTTGACCGTTTCTTGAAGAGTCCCAAACTAAACCAGATTGATTGTAATCTCCTAGTAGAAATGCGTGGTCGTTTGCACCAACACGTGTAAGTACAGCTCCAATGGATTCGACATGATTCGTTATGCTGCTCAAATCAGCCTTACGATCCGGTGGTAGGTAAATTTATGAGTTAACTAAACTCAAATTTGGGTCTTTCTCATTCGCCGTGTGCTTGGCACTGTCCTTACAAAATTCTCTTTTATTTTATTTTTTCCATTTCAGTTTATGAAACACACTAAACCGAGGTACGAGTGTGTTAATTGTGCGAAGAAATTCTACTGCATAAGACTTTATAAGCGTCATTCAACTGTATGTGATTCTGTTCAGAGTGACTTGCCGAGTAACAAGAGTTCTGACGAACTTATCCTGAAAGATAGTGGTGACCTAAAAGTGACGGAGGAGAATCGTTCGAATGAAGCACCTTGCGCCAAATGTTCCCACTGTGGAATTGAAGAGTCCAGTGCTGTCGCCCTAGCTCGTCACATTCTAATCCACCATGAGTCAGTCGCATGTGATTTCTGTGGAATTACTTGGCCCAGTCTTTCCCAGGCTCAGCATCATAGGGTTCGTAAACTGAGCTTTGAGCGTTCTTGAATTAATCTATACTCTATGCACTGTCTTTATTGTTCACCACAGAAAACGATGCACAAGGAATCGAAGCTCAAATGCCCACATTGTTCGAAGCGGTTTCCCCGGAGAACGAGCTTACAATGCCATGTATCCCAATGTGAGAAAGGAAAATTTCCCTGCGAGTTTTGCGGTAAAATGTTCAAAAATGTATTTGCTGTCAACAAACATAGGCGCGCAGTTTGCCGTGAGTTTAAAAGGAGCAAGAAGCAAACGCAACAGAAGACAGAAACACCTCCACAAGTTGAAAGCGCAAAATGTTACTACTGCAACGAAGAGTTTTCCAGTCCGGGGCGTTTAAGTCATCACTTGAAAATTGTCCATGAGTTGACCAAATGTGATATTTGCGGAATAACTATTCTCGGTATATCAGCAACCAAAAATCATAAGGTTTGTTTCACTCGTTGTTTTGAATTGCTATCAGGCTTGATTACACTTTCAAACTGTTTCTTTGATTCAGTAATCATTCTCGTAGTAATAATATTTTCTGAAATGTTATACCTGCTTTAAGGTGATACGATACGTCACGCTTTTTTTGCTTTTTTTCTCTCGTTTCTATGTGTCAGTGAAATGAGTATCATTGATGCTGTAGGGGTGTGAGTGGACATCATGCACTGTCGCAACTACCGTAAACATAGCTGCTAGAGTTCGTTATTAATATGTCGAATGTCTAGTTATCATCTAATATTGACACCATTAGTACATTTCTATTCAATTTGCCAAAATTAACGATCTACCACCTCCCAACGACATCCCTTTCTATACAGAAAAATATCATACGCCTAGTCACCAAGGCCAACCAAGTCAAGTAATCATAGTAGTTGATTAATTCAAAGCCACACTTTGTACACTTCGGTTACACACGACCGGTCCAAAAATGATTCCAGCACTCAAACCTCCAGGTACATGGTAAGAAAAAAGTACCCAAAAGTAAGTTATTTTCACACATCTCGACACTTTATTGCAGGAAGCCAAAAGTAGGCAAAGTGAGTCAAAGTAGTTTTCATTTACTTGTATTCAAATCTTATGGTATTGAAAATTCGCTTTCTACCCAAAAGTAAGTCAGTTATACCCAAGAGTAGGTGAATATGATTGTGATAATACTCAAAGTCAAAAGTAGGTAAATGTGAACTGGCCGCTAGATATGTTTTATCTTATCGTGTATGTTTATGTTTTTACATCATTCTTTTCCCGCCTTTTTAATATCAGCTGATGGCTTCGACCAGTGCAACCATAATGACAAATATGTTTTCTATAGAAGATTTGTAGGTTTATTTACTTCCATTTCTTTTCTGGAAAATCAAAATAAGAAATTGTTTTTAATTTGTATTAGTGACGGTTTCTAAATTGAACACAGTTGAAGAACCTTCAAAAGCAATAAAAGCATTGTTTTTACACACTTTGTTTCAATTAAATCGACAACACTGGATACGATGATAGATGATTTGTACACACACCTTCGTAATGTGATGTGTAGAAAAATGGTAAACAAAACAGTTTCAGCTTGCAGAATTATTCGCGGCTCGCGTTTTTAACGATGCAAATGATATTACTTAAGTAAATATCGTCTTTAAAAGTGCATTAACTTGAAAGTGCTTGTAGAAGCACGTGTCGTAATTGTTTTTAGTGTGGTTCTGAGAAGTGAAAGCTAGTGAAAACAGTTCTTTAAATTTCACGCCCTGAGCAGAACAAAATCAGCTGATCGTACTTTTTAATGCAAATATTACCAATGCGTGAATGAATTGGTAATATTTTGGTGGAAAAGTATTGAAATATGTATCCAGATCTTATTCATACAATTCAGGCCCATTTTTTAAGGTATGTAGTTAGTAATTTATTGTTTTGTAGGAAGATGTCTTCCGTACGCATACCAAAACACGTTTATTTAATGATTGTAGGGACAGCCATTGTTGCATGACGTGTCGTATCACCTTAAATGATAATTTCTACACAGCAAAATAAGCTGTAGTTGACAGCGATGCGTGTGTCGATAAACTATAATAACTTCCAGCAACCTTTCTGTACTCAAAGCCTGATTGCAAATTTAACTTTTACATTTTGTTACACAGTCTTTATTGTTCAATGCAGATAAAATGTCACTTTGAACCGAAATACGAGTGTCCAACTTGTGGGAAAAAATTTCACCGCAAAATACAATATGATGCACATTGTTTCGAGTGCGAGGATAAAAAATATGCATGTAAATTATGTGGCCACATGTTGAAAAAATTCTACTCACTCAAAGAGCATAATAGACGACGTCATCCAGACGAGAGCAGTTTGGAAAATTTTAAGATCGTTCAAGTTCAAAAACAAGAAACGGAGAAACCGTCGCAGCCACTTGCTGGAAATCCATCAAACCAACCATATTTGTGCAACATCTGTGGCATTACCTTTTCTAAAAATCGCCAAATCAATTATCATATGGTACGTTGGTTAATCTGACATTTTTGATTTGTTTTACAATGCTTTTGTAATTCCCATTCATTGCAGCTGGCAAAACACACGGAAGCAAAGTTCCAATGTCCTCATTGTTTGAGAAAATTTCGCATTAAAGGTACCTGTCAAGACCATACGTCAAGTTGTGCAGACTTAAAACATTCATGTGAATTGTGTGGTCAAAAGTTTCACCTCCTAAGCGGAGTAGAGAGCCACAAGAAACAAGATCATAGTGGCGACAGTGCTTTGAGAAATGCGAATATCGAAGGGGCAACTGTCACTGAAGAACGAAAGCAATACAGTGTTGAGAAGATAGCTGCAACTCATACAGATGTCATGATTGTTCCACAAGGTGAGAATATTGATCTCGAACTGAACATTAAAGTAGAGGAAACAATGCTGCAGGAACAGGAGTATCATGCTGACCCAGGGAGAACATTCGCCACAACTTTGGTAAGTACTCATCTCTTAAAAGTTTGCCCACTAAAGGTTTGTATAGTTGGTTTATCAAATAAAATAATCAAATAATGCCTAGCAGTTTTCGGGCTGATCCAGTTTATTTACTTACTCATAAATGCAGTGACAGTTAACCGTTAACTTCATTTCAATTTCGCATACAGCATCCGCATGATGGCATATCGAAGGAAATCAAAGTCAAAGAAGAATACCTAGAAGATGAAGACGAGATCCTAACTGAGCATCAGACTTCAACGGAGTCTTCGGAATGTCGTGGAATTCCCAGCGATCGAAACGAGTTACGTTTTTGGAAGGAAACCAAATTTGAAGTATCACATGGTTTGTTGAGCGTTGAGACATTGAGAGATTGTACAATTTAAACATGTTTTTTTTTTACAGCTCGTATGTCATACAGATCCATGACATAAATGTTCCCTTTGTCAAAAGATGTTTCATTTTGCTAGTTTTATGCGTCGTCATGAGAAAAGCTGCTCAGAACTGCGATGCAACGAATGTGCTATCAAATTTGCTACAAGTCGTCTGCTGAATAATCATTATAATGATGAGGTATATGTGGCATCGCCCGGCAACACTGGTCAGCTTGGCTTCCATCGGGTCGTCGTCGAAGAAAAAGAACTCAAGCTGTCAATCTTTGCTACGCAGCTATCAACGCGCGAACGTGGTTGTTTTTCTATTGAAAGTAAAAATAAAGATTTTAAGTATTTCGTAACTAATCGTTCTTTATTCCGTGTCCGATCGCTACATTGGTGACCCGCGACGTCGCGAATCTAGAAGTTTCGGTCCGATTTCACGGTTATTCGCCGATATTCGATCTCAAAGCCGAAACTAACCTCAAAATGCCGGACGATAACGGGAGCAACGCAGCAGCATCTGTCGCGGTAAAACTACCGGATTTTTGGAAAACTGATCCGGCTATGTGGTTTGCACAATCGGAAGCGCAATTCCACCTTGCGAAAATCGTCAATGATGAAACCAAGTTTTACCACATCGTGGCCAAAGTGGATCAATCGGTTATATGTCACATAGCCGATTTGGTAGCTGCTCCCCCAGCGGAAAATAAATACAAAACAGTGAAAGATCGCCTAATTGCTCGCTTCGCCCTGTCTGCTGAAAGCCGCTTCGAACAGCTGCTGGGGGCCCACGATCTTGGCGATATGCGCCCAACGCATCTGTTGGCAAAGATGAGAGAGTTGTCGACGGGTTTGGGCGTGGATAACAATCTGCTCAAAATGATTTTCATTCAACGCCTCCCGGCAAACATTCGACCAATTCTCACATGCCACGATGGTACCATCGAGAAGTTGGCTGAAATATGGCAGACAAGATCACCGACGCCTCCAACGGTCAGTCCTCCGCAGTTGCCATGGTGCACAACGAACCAACGTACAGCAACAGTGGTGAAAGGAAGCTAGCAGAGCAGATCGAACTTCTCACAGCGGAAATCCGACGCCTGAAAGCTCCCAACCCTGAGCGAGGCCGTTCGTTTTCGCAAAACCGAAGTGGTTCTCGTTCGTCATCACGATCCGGACTGTGCTGGTACCATAGGAAATATGGAAACGATGCTCAGCGGTGCCGAGAACCGTGTTCATGGAGCTCAAAAAACTAGCATCCTCCCCACCATCATCGGCGGTGGTGGCCGGAATGTCGGAAAGTCGCCGAATGGTAATTTTTGACAGGACGAACAATAAACGCTTTCTAATCGGCACTGGATCGGACGTCACAATATTGCCTGCCTCCAGGAGAGATCGATTGAACGGTACCGTTATAGAACAGCTCCACGCAGCCAACGGAAGTAGAATTCGGACATTTGGAACGAAATTTATTCCTGTTGACCTAGGATTGAGACGAAGATTCACCTGGAATTTCCTCGTTGCTGAAGTGACGATGCCAATAACCGGTGCTGATTTTTTGGCGCACTTCGGCATACTCGTCGATTTGAAAAACCAAAAACTGATAGATGGCCAGACAGGATTGAAGTCTTCTGGAGGTATGATGACTGCTGCTCTGCACAGTGTAACACTTGTTGGTGCCGATCATCCGTTCCACGATTTGTTAATGGAGTGCCGGGAAATAACTCTGCCATCGACGCTTCGTTCTGTCACGCAGTGTGACGTAACCCATCACATAGTTACTCGTGGACCACCCGTGGCGTCTAAAGTTCGACGAATGCATCCGGACAAAGTTAAAGCTGCTAAGGAAGAGTTTCGCCTTATGTGTGACCTAGGAATATGCAGACCATCGAGTAGCAGTTGGGCAAGTCCTTTGCATTGTGTGCTGAAAAAGAACGGGAAATGGCGTTTCGTTGGTGACTACCGTCGCTTAAATCATATCACTACACCTGACCGTTATCCGGTACCGCACATCCACGATTTGCTGCATTCGCTTCATGGTAAGTCCGTTTTCACAACTCTTGATCTGGAGCGAGCGTATCATCAGGTTGCGGTGGAGGAAGCAGACATTCCCAAAACGGCGGTCATCATATCATTTGGCTTGTTTGAGTTCACCCGCATGCAATTTGGGTTATGTAACGCAAGTCAGACGTTCCAGCGCTACATGAACCGAATCTTTGGTGATCTTGATTTCGTTGTTGTCTTTATAGATGACATATGCATCGCTTCTGAATCCCTTGCTCAACACCAGGAGCATCTACGCATAGTGTTTGACCGCCTACGCCAGCACGGACTCGTTCTAAATTTGGGTAAGAGCGTGTTTGCCCAAAAGGAAGTGGAATTTTTAGGATACCAGATCAGCAGTGATGGAGTGCGGCCGCTCCCGTCACGCGTCCAAGCCATTATGGACTACGAGAAACCGACAACAGTCAAGGAACTCCGTCGCTTTCTGGCACTCGCCAACGGCTACAAACGCTTCGTTCGTCATGCATCCGACATCCAAGCTGAGTTGCAGAAGCTTATTCCCGGGAACAGGAAAAACGACATACGTAAACTACAGTGGACAGATGCAGCTTCATCAAGCTTCGAGCGTTGTAAAAAATCATTAGCGGAGACAGCACTGCTTCACAATCCTGACTCGTCGAAACCATTAGCTCTGATGATCGATGCCTCAAATATTGCTGCGGGGGCTGTCTTGCAGCAGCTAAATGGTCAGAATTGGGAACCACTCGGATTTTATTCCGAAAAATTTTCGTTGTCCCAAACGAAATACTCTACTTTTGGCCGTGAACTGACTGCGATGAAAATGTCTGTGAAATATTTTCGGCACTTCCTTGAAGGACGCAACTTCACGATCTTCACTGACCATCGCCCACTAACATACGCGCTAACAACCGATTCCAGCTCTCGGCTACCGCATGAAGAACGATACCTACGTTTCATCTCGGAATTTACTACGGATATACAACATGTCAGTGGAAGTGAAAATTACGTCGCCGATGCATTGTCTCGTGCGTGGAGAGTATACTAGCGCCTACTTCGGTGGACTATGAAGAAATCGGACGAAAGCAGAAAAACGACGCGGAGCTTCAGCAGTTGATGCAATCCAAATCTACTTCGCTGAAATTTGAAGCAAAACGGATGAGTGGTTGTTCTCAACCAATCTACTGTGACGTCTCGACCGGAAAACCACGACCTTTCGTTCCAAGTACTCAACGGAGAACCATCATGGAATGCCTACACGGAATTTCTCACCCAGGAGCACGAGGCAGCAGGAAGTTAATCTCCGAGCGATTCGTTTGGCCAGCTATGAACCGTGAAATAAATGAGTTTGTCAAACACTGCGTCGACTGCCAACGGTCGAAGGTGCATCGACATACCGTCTCTCCGTTGGGAAAATTTGACCTACCGAAGGCTCGTTTCCAACACCTTCATATTGATCTGGTTGGTCCTTTACCGCCGTCACAAGGATACCGCTACCTACTGACCATGATTGACCGTTTTACCAGATGGCCCGAAGCGGTTCCACTTGTCGATATGACTGCAGCATCTGTGGCTCAAGCACTGTACTCAACATGGATAGCAAGATTTGGAGTCCCAGAAAACCTGACAACCGACCAGGGACGGCAATTTGAGTCCGATCTCTTTCGGGAGTTAACGCGAATGTTAGGTGTTCACCATATTCGTACGAATGCCTATCACCCACAAGCGAACGGCATCGTAGAACGTTTTCACCGAACATTGAAAGCATCGATAATGTGTGTAAACTCTAAGAATTGGTACGACGAACTTCCAATGATTCTTCTGGGACTAAGGGTGGCATTTAGGGACGACCTGCAGTGCTCGGTTGCGGATATGGTTTACGGTCAGGCTTTACGGATTCCTGGTGAATTCTTTCAGTCTGCACCTGGAGATATCGACCGATCGGAGTTTGCCCAAATGCTTCACCGTACGTTCGACAATATAAAACCGCACGATACTAAACGACATGGAGAACGACAAGTTTTTGTCAACGCCAATTTGAAAACATGTACACATGTATTTGTAAGAGTGGGTTCTGTGAAGCGACCGTTGCAGCATCCTTATGAAGGTCCATTCAAGGTACACGAAACGAAAATCAATTATCTTATTCATGTCTTTCACTTATACATTTTTGCCAAAACATCAGCCTTATACATTCCATAAGACAAACCTCATGCGTCCTATAAGAATGCTTAAAAGGTATGTGTGATCGCTTATACATTTCATTTGACACATGATCTTTATTAACTATTTGCAAGGCGACTGCTTATTAGTTGACTTATACATTTTATGAATAATTAGCAATAGAAATTTGCCAAAAGGAATAAGGAGATTTATATCCGTGTAATAAGACGAGATGATAAGTTCTTCGACGTACTTATTTCTGGAAAACAGCAGCGCATTTCAGTCGACCGAATAAAAGCGGCTTTCACTTGTAATCCGGATTTGCAGAAATATCCTCAAGATGATCATCGTACGAAAGTTACACAATCTGGACATCGCGTAAGATTTTTGGTGTAACTGGAGGAGCCCTGTGGCATCGCCCGGCAACACTGGTCAGCCTGGCTTCCATCGGGTCGTCATCGAAGAAAAAGAACTCAAGCTGTCAATCTTTGCTACGCAGCTATCAACGCGCGAACGTGGTTGTTTTTCTATTGAAAGTAAAAATAAAGATTTTAAGTATTTCGTAACTAATCGTTCTTTATTCCGTGTCCGATCGCTACATATATACCGATCTGCTGTCTGAAAATAAAATTGTAGCCGATTGGACTGGTACTTGAACCAGTCCAATCGGCAACAATTTTATTTTCAAACTGTGCCAGTTTATTTGCTAACTGCTAAAAGCATTGAAAGTTAACCTTTATTTCATTTTCACATCCAGCACTTACATGATGGTCAATCAAAGCATCTTCTAGAGATCCAGAAGTTGAAGAGGAGAACCTAACCATCCTAACTGAATTGTAGAGTAAAGCGGAATCCTCTCAATGTCATGGAGTTTCCAGCGATCGAATCGAGTCGCCTGTGCGTCATGAAGTCCATTCAAAAGTAACCAAGATAAAACCTCATTCAAAAAGCTATCTTCGGGTTATACCGAACCCCACATCAATGATAAATAGTAAGGCTGAAAGATGGAAATTGTTTTTTTAAAAACGAGCTTTTCCGGAATTTATATTTCAGAATATGTACACTAGACGTTTGCTAATGCAGCATATACCTTATTAAGTTGTTTCTTTCCTTTTAATTCTACTAGTATTGTATCACTTTGGCCTCAAAGTCGGTACGCTTACCGAACTAGGTTTCCGCGTGGCAGGGAATGATTGTAATGGATACAGAAAATCTTCTACAGCACTTCTCTTTCCAAAACACCACTTTCTACTATAGTCGCTATATTCCGAGCTATATTCATAGTCTGGCGGATAGAATCGCGGGAACCAATTGAGCTAATAGCGGAACCAATGGAGCAAATCACGATCAACAACAGAAAAGAGCACATCAGCTATTGCGAACAAAACTTCGGAAACCGTTTTCTCGTGACTCAAGGCTCGCCTTGGTAGGTAATTTGCGAAGAATAATCAACGTTTTGTTTATAAAAATGATAGTAACTTTTCAATTGACTAATTTGTCAAGCAGTTTTGACGTGACTTTCTACCAGCGATTTCACAAAACTGGACCGACTAATTTCTATTTTTTATGAAATGCACTATACTATATATAGTATAGCTATAGCTTCGAATATATCATTCCTAGTCATAATCCAGAATTTACGGAACCAGATACTGGAGGCCTTGGAATAGATGCCAATGTGTCTATATGACAATGAAATTCTCTGAAATAATCGTTAATGGCCATATCCTATGATTTGATATGCAGTATGATTCATTTGCCTCAAATATGACTATGGCCTAAAGAACTGCAGGATCACAGGAACCGATGTCAATGTGGCCATGTGTCACAGAATTCATCTCAAACTGTTTACATCAGTGTTGGGAAAATATCAATAA